CCCTCTCTTTCCTTTATGGTTTTATTGAGGCAGGGTTTTTCTGTGTAGCCCTAGCTATCTTGCAATACACTCTGTAGGCCGCCACCCCCAGGCAAGAACCTGCATTTCTAACAAGCTCCCCAGATCATGCTAGTTTTCCTGGTTCATAGACACAGAGGAGGACTTAAAGTAAACCTCATCCATTACACACCTTTGTATATAAACATAGAAAGTTTGTCTCCTTCACCCAAAACCATGGTTCGATATCAATGTTTTTGCATTAGTACATATCCTGTTTTGGTCTTACCTACAGGTTATTTTATTATTATTAACTTTTAAATATGCCTTTAAGTTTTTTTCAATTACACAAGTAGCAAATACCTATTACCCAAAATAAATAAAAGTCTAAATCATACAAATCTTTACAGAGAAAAAAAGCAAATGTTAACCTTTTCAAGATATCCGATGTTTATAAAAGTACTAACAAGGTTTATTGATTAAAACTTTAGATCTTGTACACATTTGTTGTTAAAAGTTTCAAATATATTAGAAAAACTTTAATTATTTAATGGATATGCTTATTTTATTTCCATGAGTGTATATGCACCACATGCATACAGTGTCTGTTGTTTTTTTGTTTTTTTTTCCCCCCCCAGACAGGGTTCCTCTGTGTAGCCCTGGCTGTCCTGGAACTCACTCTGTAGACCAGGCTGGCCTCGAACTCAGAAATCCTTCTGCCTCTGCCTCCCAAGTGCTGGGATTAAAGGCGTGTGCCACCACTGCCCAGCTTACACATGCAGTGTCTATCTACAGAGGCCAGAAGAAGTAACCTTTCCTGAGACAGGAAGTACATAGGATTATGAGCCACCATGTGGATGCTAGGATTAGAATCCGATCCTCTGAAAGAGAAGCAGTGCTTCTAACTGCTGAAGCTGTCTTCTCAGCACTACAGAAAACTTTGTTTCCTAGTGCCCCTCCTATATAAATAAATATATCCCTTGTCCCAACTCTGGGACACAAATTCAAGTCCTACAGTATATTTGCCCTATGTTCATAGGTACTTCTTAAATAAATTATAGTTGTAGTTCATTTGCATTTACAAAAGTTTTAGTAATAGGAGATTGGTAGTAGCAGAAAAAAGATTGGCAAAATATATTTCATTTCAATAATAGAGTTTTTACTGTTTTCTAAATCTCTGAGCATGTTTGAAATATTCTGAAAGAAAAATCCAGATTCCAGTGAATGCTAGTGTAGTGACCACCTCCAGAGCACCTGAGATGAAGGCAAGTTCCCCAAAGCACAAATAAGAGGTGGATTGGGTGAGGCTTTTGCCCATGTACTAGAGCTTAGTAGATGATGCTTTATCTATGCATGTCATGCTACAGTGCTCCTGGGACATAGTACTCTTAGACAGAAGCAGTAGAAATTATTAAGTCACATGAGTCAGGGAGATCTCTGTGAGGAAACTCAGAATTCCACTGATGTTTTGAGCTGAAACTGAAAAATGTGACTACGTGGGCATCAAAGCTGCAAAGGTCTGATGAGAGATAGTTAAAGGTATTTGTGACTAAAGTTAAAGACCAGTGGTCAGGAGGAAGATCAGAACATCAAAGACCAAAGGAACAGAACTCTTGAGTTGGGATTGACACCCAACAAGGGAACAAGGAAGTCAGCTGTCTCCAGGATTGTGTTAAGAGGTAGCAAGTTGATTTATAGTCAGGACAAGACAATGTGTATTGTAATCAACTTGTAACTTTATAGCAACTTACCTCTTATACATTTCATTCTTAAAACAGTTGATCATTTTTGGCTAATAAACAGCATCTGTGAAAAGGCCTGACATTGGTTTCTAAATTCAAATCATTTGCTTGCAAGCCCTGGACTTACTTAAGAACTTCCTTCAGTAAAATGTCAGGTTTCCATCATTCAGAGTGGTTTATCCATTAGTAAACCTGTTCAAATAGGTCTCACTCTGCTTGCTCACTTCCACAGTTCAGCTGGACATGAAGTGGTTTATGTCAAGAGGAAATAGGAAGCCATTAGAAATTAGAAACTGCATAGGGTTTTGTATCACATAGATAACAGTATTTCCACTGCACCATGCATATGATGATTAATTTGAAATTTAAATAAAATATATTTCGAGGCTTCCTAGTGCTCTTCTTTTTATTAAATAATCATGAGGTAGTAATGAGTTTTGAGTAATGAGTTTTATTGCTGTAGTTTACATTTTTCACCTTTTGAATCTTAAAACAGGTGTGAAAATCACATCGACACTGCAAGTGTTAAAGCTCATCAAGCAGGCTGGCGACCGAGTGCTGGTGTACTACCAGAGACCTGTTGGACAGAGCAACCAGGGAACAATGCTGCCAGACAGTCTGGGCCAGTTGGAAGAAAACTTTTTGTCAAGCTCCTGCCAGCCAGGTTATGAAGAGGAAGCTGCTGGGTTGCCAGTGGATACTGAAAATAGAGACCTAGATTCTGAATTTGAAGACTTGGCAAGTGATGTCAGAGTACAACCAGAATTGAAAGAGGAGACACAGCCGTTGAGTCACAGTCCAAAACGTACTCCAACAACACTTTCTATTAAACCCCTTGGCGCTATATCCCCAGTTTTAAATCGTAAATTAATTTCAGGAATCCACCCACCACCACAAAAACTTCCATCCAAAGAAGGAAATAAACCATCAGCTCTAAAAACATCAGAGGGCACAGAAGCAGCACAAGTGTCCAAACCCCAAGGACCCACTTTCAAACCACCTGTGCCCCCACGACCACAGGGGAGAGTGCCTCTGCCTCCCACCGACACCTCAGCTCAGGCAGACCCAGAAGCCTCAGAAAAGCCAGACAAGGTGGTGCTCCCTCCTCTTCCTGCAGATAAACCTGCTGAGAAGCAAATGAAGAGTGTGGATCAAGGAGAAGATGTGGCAGCAGGTAAGCAGTCTTCAGCAAAGCAGGAAGTAGTGAAAGATCTTCCTTCAGAAAGTTCTGCTCCTACTAAGGACACTTCAGATGACCATCAGATGTGGGAATCATCAGAGGTTCTATATCGTAATAAGGTAGGAAAGTGGTCAAGAACCAGAGCATCCTGTATGTTTGACATAGAAGCCTGCCACAGGTACCTGAACATTGCACTGTGGTGCAGGGATCCTTTCAAGTTAGGAGGTCTCATCTGTTTGGGGCATGTTAGTTTAAAACTTGAGGAAGTGGCTTTAGGATGCCTAGCTACATCAAACATGGAATACCTTTCAAAGTTCAGACTGGAACCCCCTACACCTAAGGCCATGGTCACTAGAACTGCACTACGTAATCTGAGTATGCAAAAGGGCTTCAATGACAAATTTTGTTTTGGTGACATTACTATTCATTTCAAGTATTTAAAGGAAGGAGAACCAGACCACCACATAGTTCCTAATGTAGAGAAAGAAAAAGAACTCCATTTGGTTGAGGAAGTTTCTACACTCCCTAAAGAGGAGCATTTTGTGGGACAGATGAGTTTGTCAGAAAATAAACATAGTTTCCAAGATACTCAGTTCCAAAACCCAACTTGGTGTGATTACTGTAAGAAAAAAGTTTGGACAAAAGCTGCTTCCCAATGTATGTTCTGTGCTTATGTTTGTCATAAAAAATGTCAGGAAAAGTGTCTAGCTGAGACACCTCTTTGTGGAGCAACTGAGAGGCGACTAGACCGGGCCCTGAAAAACCTCAGGCTGGACGGACAGGACCCACTCTTGGGCCTTCCTCCTCGTGTTGAAATGGAAGCTAACAAGTCAGTCAATAAAACAACAGGGTTGACGAGGCACATCATTAACACTAGCTCTCGTTTACTAAATTTGCGTCAAGTCTCGAAAACTCGCCTTTCTGAACCAGGAACAGATCTCGTAGAACCATCACCAAAACACACTCCCAATACGTCAGACAATGAGGGCAGTGACACAGAGGTCTGTGGTTCAAACAGTCCTTCCAAACGAGGAAATAGTGCAGGAATAAAATTAATGAGAAAGGAAGGAGGGCTGGATGACAGTGTTTTCATTGCAGTTAAAGAAATTGGCCGTGATCTGTACAGAGGCTTGCCCACAGAAGAGAGGATCCAGAAGCTAGAGTTCATGTTGGATAAGCTACAGAATGAAATTGATCAGGAGTTGGAACACAATAATTCCCTTGTTAGAGAAGAAAAAGAAACAAATGATACAAGGAAAAAATCAGTTCTTTCTGCTGCTTTGGCTAAATCAGGAGAAAGACTACAAGCTCTGACACTTCTGATGATCCACTACAGAGCAGGCATTGAAGATATTGAAACCTTAGAAAACCTGTCTTTAGACCAGCACTCGAAAAAGATGAGCAAGTACACAGATGACACAGAAGAAGACCTCGATAGTGAGATAAGCCAGTTGATAGACTCTCAGCCATTCAGCAACATCTCCGATGACTTGTTCGGCCCGTCTGAGTCGGTGTAACCAACAAGCTATTTCAACTTTTACATGGTTGGGACAAGATGTATCCGATGTGCCACGGGTACAGCCACGTTCGGGTCTCTCACGGTGCACTTTGGCCTGCTTCTATAGTTACTTGCTTGTATGAAAAAGAAAAGATAGTTTCCTGCAGAAACATGACCAGCTCATCAAATTGGTTGTTTCGGGTTGTGCTTATAGCTATGGGTTTTTTGGATTTATACTGGGAATTGGGTTTTATTAATTTATTTTTAACCTTTTCTAATTATGTAAGCTAACTTTGTGTTTGTGTATATGTGATGTTTCACTGTCATTTTTTCTTTCCTCCTGTTTTTTTAATTAGTGTTAAATAAGATTCTGTCCAGATTCCTGAAATATTTTCTTTCACTTTCATCACGGTTATAACAGCAAATTTGTTGCATGCCTAAATTGACAACAATAATCATGGAGGGAACAGGTTTGAGTCTTCTTCCTTCTATGTTTTGAGGTTTGTCAGCTGTACTTCCTTGATGTTTTTGTTATGTGGGGCTTGGGGGGATTTTTGTTTTATTTTATTTTGCTTTTGTTGTTGCCAAATGTAAATGAAAGCAGACCCTACAGCTCTAATCTGTTATGCTTATATAGTTTAACTTTTTTACATATATTGCTTGCTTCTTATGCTTCTGCGATATCTTTAAAACTTTTATGCAGTTGAAGTGTAGTAAAATTACAGTGATTAACTAGAAGAGGTTGCAATGAATAGAGAATAAATACAAAGTCCAGTTGGTCAAGAATGTTGTAGAGAGGATAACAAGATTTCATTACTGAAGAACAGTAACCAGTAGGATTTTGAAATATCTTCCAAATGTTGATGCTTTCCTTTTAAGTGGAAGTTATGGACACTCGTGGTAATTTTTCATCTTTGGTTCTCCCATAGGAAATAAAGCATGTGCAAGGACATTTAAAATCTTACAGGACTCATTCTGAAAATGACTGTATTGATAACTGGCTTTGTTTGTATGATGTGGAGGGCAATTACAGAGACTATGTTTACTACATCATCTGGTGTCTTGTGGCCTTAAAGGAATGTTGGTCATTCTGAATACTTAAGTAGTTCAGACCATCTTCATTCATTGTAAAGAAAACTAAAAATAGACAGTATGCATAGTTCGCTAAAAATGAAGGCTTGCTATGCTATTGGGCCCGTCTAGTGGATGCTGGTAACAAACAACTGAGAGAAATATATGACCTTGACCCCTATTGATATATCTTAAAAGTCAAAGCTTGTTATATCTATAGAATAGAAAAGTGTTTTCCCCCTTTACAGGCAACTACTACAATAACACATAAACCAACTAAATTTTAAAATATATGGGATAGCTCTTTGCTGCAGACAAATGCATAGTATAATACTAAAAAGACTGGCCCAGTCTGTAGCCCAGACTCCAGGAGGAGTTTCAGGTCAAAGCTCTTTGGTGAGCTGTACAATCACAGGCGGGTCACAAAGGGTCACACAGCTTTCGAAGCTCCAAAGGTCCTTGCACTTCCTCACGGGACTGTTGTGAGGAAGACAGGAACATAACTGCAAAGGCACTTTGAACAGTAAAATGCTGTAAAAATAAGAGGTGTTACTTACATGAGAAAAAATTGTTAAGTACAGAAAAGTTATTCCAGTCTTGAACTTAATAGCTAACTCTCACTCCCATTATTAAGTGAAATATTGGGGCACAGACCTACCTTTGTCAAGTTTATAGCAAGGCTACATCTGTGTAACTCCACCCCACCCCCACTCTTTTATTATTTATTTAAGCATGCTCACAGTGTAAAAGAACATCACAGTAGGACTTTCCACAACAAATCACAGAAGCTAAAGTGTTCCACATCTTACGCTTGAAACAGTCTGCCCAATGTATAGCCATGTTTCATCTTGTAAACAATAACTTGCCATTGCTACCCTGAAGGTGGTATGGCTGTAAGTGGCTGGTGTGTTTATGGATCAAACCATGGAAGTTTTAGTGGTGCCCAAGCATGCTCCTGCACTGATGCATTTGAAAGAGCTGTAGAAATAATGCAAAGCTTTAGTTCTAAGAATCTACTCATGCTTTAAAGTATTTATCTCTGTAGAACCACAATCATGGAAAGCTCAACAGTGCTGCTAATTATGTTTGTAAATTAAAATATACCTTTAATGTAGTGCAATATTTTTCTATTGGGAGAGCAGTAGAGGCAGTTGGGAACTCCAAATACCCTCAAGCATAGTAAGGTATAAGGCTTCAATTTAAGACTGTGTTATATTACATTACTCATGTAATCTTGCTGCCATGCTATGTTATCAATAGCTAAAATAATAATAAAGACTACCACGAAAAATAAGAATATCTTCATTTGATGACATCTAAAAACAGGAGATTGGTTCTTCTCTGGCATTATTACCTGGTATAATTTGGCCATGCAGACAAGCTAACAATCCACTTTTACTAAACAAATATGTAAAAGCATTCAGATTTTTACTGTTGTTCCCTTACTTTTTGAAACAGATATATGGATTTTCTTCTAATGCTATATAGTAATAAATAGATTATTATTCATAGTGAGACCTGTCTCAGAAAAGAAAAATTAAACTGTTTAAAGTACACTGTCTTCATCGTTAAGTTGAATGACTGGGTTAGGCAAAATGAATAACATTTTAGTATTATTTTGCAATCATAATATGCTATATTTCTTTTTTATTTATTGTGTTGCTTTTTTGAGACAGAGTCTGTCTGGTCTCAAACTCAATAGAGATGTGCCTGCCTCTGTTCTGGAGTGCGGGGATTAAAGGCATGTACCACCATGCCAAGCTGTACTGTGTTTCTTAGCATCAGACTTCATTTAATAATACTAGAACTTACTATGTAGTACTTTCTCATTCTAAGAACAGCCTAAAACTTTGAGAGTAAAGTCTACCTTTAAAAAAAATTATAAAGACATTTTTAAACATGTTTGGTTCTAGGAAGTAAGACAGTAGAGTTTAAATTTTTAAGTCCCCTAAAGTTTTGAAATCGCTTCAGTTTTAAAAAAGAAAAAGTATTAATTTTTAAATTGAAGTGATGGCATTCTTTACCCTCCCCTCCAAAAGCAAACAAGGCTGGAAAGGGGGGTTCCCTTCATCCTTTTTGATCCCTTACTTTTCCTTAAGGTCTGAGTAAACCAGCAGGCCTCTCTAATCCTGGAAACTACCGTGTGTATAACATTCAAAATGATCCTTATTTGTAAGTCTTTCAGAGCCTGTTCTGTCACGTGGCTAGGTATTACCATCCTCTTCATCAGACAATTATCTGTTCACAGCAATTAGAACAATTCATTTGAGTTAAAGTCCAGGGCAACTCACTGTTTTTCCACACTGATAGGGTGTAGTAAATCTTATATTTCATTTAAAGGAAGCAGCGAGAAGCCAGAGAGGATGGTTTACCATAGCCTGGAGTGACTTGCCCGATGCCTGCAAACAGAGAGAATGCTTTTTAATTAAATATCTACAGCCAAAACAGTGTCTATGTATTTTATTCCAGCAACAATGTTGATGAAATGGTTTATAAAAGAATACAGGCAGGCACGGCACAGTGTTCAAGAAGATTTATTAAGTAATCTAGCTAAAGTGCAACCAGCACAGATACACTTAGCAGTTAAAAGGAAGTTGAGTATTCATTTCTACCTCACTAAGATTTTTGTGTCTGAATTACCAAGTACAAACAAAAGCCACCTCTACTTTAAAAATAAAAAAATGTTCAGAGAGCTGTAAGTTCTTTGTTCTGGTACATGCACAGTATTTTTTTTAAACACTATTTTCAGTCTCGTGTACCCAAGATTTTACTCATATAAATGTCTTTCCCCTCACAAACAACTTATCCTTTCCTCTCCAAATAGTTCTGCAATTTTTCTTTTATCTTTTCCCTGGAGAGCAGTAACAGGCGTGCCTTTGCTGGTCATTTTTACTGAAGCTGAAGCCTCAAAGCAGAAATGACAGGAATCAGTTATTATATATGGTATTGTGGGCAAGGGCAACTACAAGCCCTCTGTCACATTACATCACAGGGCATCCTGGAGAAGGTTAAGCCCTGCCCTTTTAAGCCATATAAGAGTAGCCATGACTCAAGAGTTGCAGACCTGTGATTGTCCAGTGGTGTGTAGTGAGTAGGGACCCGATTGCCCCCCAAACACACCAGACTTCAGATCACCAAGGTCCCACAGAAAGCTTCATAAAACAAATATTTGCCACTTTTCTGAAGAATGTAATAGTCAATAAGATTTGAGAGGTTGTTATCCTAAAGTTCTCTTAATGTCCAAGGTCAACACAAACAAATTCAACTTAACAAAACTGACAGATTTTTTTTTTTTATGATTACAGAACTGTAGAATTGCTACTATTTGAGACATATTCCATACTGTGTTTGCATTCCGGAAGATTGTAATCTCATACAAAGCAATTACAGTGTTCACTAATAATATTAGCTGGCACACTGAAAAGATATATCAGCGTTCTCATGCTTAGAAAAATTACTCTACCCAACACACAAGATGATACAGTAACACATACAAATTTGTAGATATATTTTTCTGCTTCAGAAAGGGAAGGTGTCCTGACCATTCTATTGTACTTCTTAACATAATCATGTTAGATGTGAACAATTTCATTCCTTCGTCTTTGCATTTCTACATTGATACCAACAACTTTTAGGAGTCTAAAAAATAACAGCAACTCAAAATTAACAAATCTCTAGAAAAAAACACTTGGATGACCTGCAAGCAGGTGAAAGATGTAATAGTCTAATTTTTCACATTACAGCAGCTTTGATAGCCTTGTTTCCTTTCCCAGAACATGAACAGGATTTGATAAACCATAACATATTTAACCTTGACTGTTTAAAGTGCATAAAGTTTTATTCTCACCCAATAAGACTATCAAGTACATATATATATGAAAGCAGCATTTGGGTTCTTTCCTCTGCTTTCAGAACATTCACTTTTTACCCCTTGTTGGCTTTGACTGCTGCCAATGATATGACACAGAAAACCATTTATAACCATCCCTTTTCAGGTGGGTGGTTATAGAAAACGAATGCCAGCAAAGGTTTATGAATAAGTCTGAAAGATGGCTGATAAAAGGTCTTGTCCTCTGCACTTAAGATGACTAGCTCTTAACTCATACATTGGTATTAGTTACAAGTTAAATAACAACACATTCAGTGTTGCTGCATAATGCGCTGTCTTACATGATTCTGTTTCTCAGACTGCTAGTTTTTTTTTGTTGGAGAGTCTCATAATGTGTGCTTTAAACACTCATTACTCAGTATTCAGAAAAAAATATAAGATTTTTTTTTGTCCAAGTGTTGATGAATGTAAGTTAAAAAATTATATTTAATTTGGATTCAAATATTTATACATTTACAGTATATCTATTTCGTCAAAATATATTGTATAATATTAATAAAATCAAATACATAAAATAAAGTTTTAAACACTATTTATGCAAACCCCTAGAAAAGCTGCTTTTTCTTTATAAGGCTGTTGGCAGTCAATCATAACCATGGAAAAGAAAGTATCACCTTTGGTTGTTTTACTCTTTGCCAGCAATGGATGGTGTGACTAAGACAGTTCTGCATGAGTCATCTCACTGGAAACACTTCTACACAGTTAAACATTTGGCAACGTTAGAGGGCCTCAGTCACTTTCAGATTCTTCATCATCGCCGATGGGATATGACTGGACATTATTCTGAGTGTACATCTTTGTTTTAATGGGGCAGTTGTGGTCCATGAGGATAGCCTGAAACAAAATGCAAGTACATTAACTTCTTGTTTTACAAAGATAAGAAGGTTTTAACCTGTTGTTAAGGATTACTATTCCAAAAACTGTATAATTATTAAAAACAGTTATTCGAATTAATCTCCATGTCTTGACCTTGAAGGTCTGTCATTCTCCATGCAGTGAGAAGTTTCAGGTAATAGGCAAGAAGTAAAACATCTAGGATGTTTTCATTGTACCTGTTGGAGATGGAGTTTGAGTTTTGTGATTCAAAGGTAGGTTAGGTTTTAGAAAAGTTAACCTGAGAATTTTGTATGGAGTGGAGCTATGGACCTCAATACATCCAACTTCCACTTTATAGACTGCCACAACAGGGAACCTCATGAAGATGTTTAAAGGGACCTCTTGTTGGAAGTATAGGGACGTCTGAATTGGAATCCTCTCCACTAGTTTCAGTCATGGACCTTGCTCTGGTGATAGCCATCTACACAGACTGTTTTATAATATGTTAAGACCACATTCTGCCATGGCCTCTTAGTTTCTCAGGTCAAACATCCCAGTTTGTTCACAAATGTGGTGGTCAGACATCTCTCTTTAGATCCTACTTTAGCACAGATGTATGCATAAAGTTCCTCTGCCCTCTTCTATTTCTGAAAATTAAGCCAAAAACTAAGTGTACTACAAAAGGGCAAAATGATGCTTTCAAAGCATCCTTAACAAGAAGTACTTGCAATCGTTCCTACTGACAGTTCCTAGCCAACCAGTCATCTAATAATACAGCTGACATCCCGTCAGGAACATGACTACAAGTAGACAGACTAAAGCTTTAGCTTTCATAGTGAGTCTAGATGGGAAGTTGAAAGAATGGGTAGAAAGGTTTAAAGAACTTGATCAAGGAGAGCTAGGGACCTGGCTATGTGGTTAAGAGCTTTGGCTTCCCTTCCAAAGGACTCAGGTTCAGTTCCCAATATCCACATAGCAGCTCACAACTGTCCGTAACTCCAGTTCTAAGGAACCTGACAATCTAACACAGACATATGTGAAGGGAAATAAAAATTTAAAAAGAAAACTAACTTGACCAAGGGATATATACTCTGACCATCGAAATCTGCAAATGGTTAAGTCTTTTATGTAGAATAGTCTATTTGCATAGAATATAAATATCCATGTAGATTTCATATCAGCTTTAGATCACTTACAATACTGAACATAATGTAGCTGGGGGTGATAAAGAACTGTCCAAATTAGTACAGATCATTGTTTTTGGTTGTTTGGATTCATATTGGTTGAGTCTACAGAGCCAAAACTGACAAGTACAGAGAGCAGCAGTGCAGCCTTCGTGCAAAGGAAGAAGCCCAGGCAGTCTCAGGACAGACCACATTTTTTGTACATCCCATAGTAGCTAGAGAAGTGCAGTGGAAGGCATGTGTAAGCCAAATGAATCAGGTATGTCTGGGCAGTTTTCCTCCATAGGAACCATTCCCAGCAAGACTTTTTTCTTTCTTTCTGTGCAGTCTGCAAATCTGAGCAGTTAAAATGTTCTGGTACTGCCTGTGGCAGTCTGTCTTGATGTCTGCTAGTTATTCTCAACTCTTGTCCTCCAGATGTGATAAGACTCCTCTGTGCTCAACCCTTTTTATCATTTTCCAAGAGATTCTCAAATGATCTCCTGTGTGACACAAGATAAGGACTCTGTGGCCCAAGTCAGGCTATCATCTCAAACTGCCAGCTTTGAACTCCCGTTCCAATTATGCTGCTTACTGAGTGAATTGATAGTTGTACTTAAAGGGTCTGATTATTAAAATAGTTGAGGCAACAGATTATACACTTGAGCCATTCTCCCTGTGTTACACAAAGATTTAGCCATTGGTTGCTAAAGGTAATCTCCCCAGATTAGTGATTCTTAAGGAAATGTGTCCAGAGAACACCGGGGAGATGGGCTAAGGAGTAGAGTAGAGCAGGTTAAAAATGAAACCTCAGGTCCCTATCTTCACAGTGACAGTGCTATCAACAACTTCCAGAAATAATGCCTTAGTTGCAATACATTACATAAGACTATAGCAGCCTTCAGCTGACATGGATTTCTTGGGCACTTGCTATGTATATGATCTTATCCTGAAAGTCCCTATACCAGCAAGTTTTGACTCCAAAGGTATGGTCATGTCCCCCAGGGCCACAGGTGGGAGACTCAGTTGAGGTTAAGGGTTAGCAAAAGCCTGCAGATGAAATGAGAGCTTAAGTGAACCCTGAAAGATGGAAAGGTTTGAAGAAGACAGATTTGACTAAGCAAATCATAGATTATGGAGAACAGTCAGCAAAATACACTAAACACAGCTACCAGAGTTCATATTAGGAGGCAATGGAGACAGAAGTTGGAAAGCACCACCAAAGCCAGGAGCAGACATGAGCTTTGACCTGTACTTGGCCCACAGGCAGCAAGGCTACATTGAGGAGTGGTCATTGCCTTATTCACAACCACCTTCATCTCTCCATTCTTCCACCATTACGCTTCTATAGCTAATCTTAACTGCTGGACTGGACATAGAATGTGGACTCAATAAAAAACTGTTCTGAGAGTTGTTGGGCATGATAGTGCATACCTTTCATTTCATCACTCAGGAGGGAGAGACAGATACATCTCAAGAGTTTGAGGCCCATCTGATCTACACAGTAAGACCCTGTCTTTAAAAGCTACACTGGGATTAGGGAGATAGCATATTGGTTAAAGAAAATGTTTGTCTTGCAAGCATGAGGACTTGAATTTAATCCCTAGAAACCACATTTTAAAAACTCAGGTGTGGTGGTATACACTTATTATCCCTGCACTGGAGAGGTGAAACAGATTCAGGCTTGCTGGCCAGCCAGATTTGCCAACTTGTTGAGCTCTAGGCCAGCAGGAGACTCAAGATGGATAGCCCGTGAAGAGCAACACTGAATGTTGTCCCTACATGTATGAGCAACTGAACAAGCACACTATTTTTTTACAAGCGCTCGTAGAACCATGCATTACAGAGTTAATTTCTACTGATTATCTCTATCGTGAAGACATAATTGATCAGAATTCTTAAATACAGTTGATAGCCTATGTGTTTCAAGTACCTTTCTCCCATGAATATAGTTCCATGGCTTCTACAACCTAGCTTTATATCTCTCCCCAAAACATTACTAGGTGGTGGTTTTACTTAAATAATAAAGTTATAAATGGTTAAGTAAGTCAGATGGTGTGTCATGAAAAGAGAGGCACACAGCACTGAGCAGGTAAGGCAAGTGCATGAAAGACAAATACCCAATGGCTCATGAAGCAGGCAGGAAATTTATGCTAGCATTCTACATATAGCTGTAGTACAGAACTGGAAAGAGGAGGGACTGGCACCAAAGTCACAGCCAGTCCCCTGCTAAATTTCTAGCTCACATCACTGTACACAGAGCAAAGCTGGGGTCTCCAGGGTAGTAAAAAAAAAATCAAATGCAGTGAAAAATAAATAAATAAATCAGTGCTGAGTTGGTGAGACAGTAAATGCACATAGAAAGTAGGCTCAACAATCTCAGATGTGAGAAGACATACATCCTAGTAGAAACTCTCAGTCCTTTTTTTAACATAACTAGAAGAAAAAATATCAAAAACGTCAATCCACTATGTAAATGCCCAGAAAAGAGACAAGTGTCTCCAAGTAGATTATTAATGTACACCTCAAGTATATTCTCATCTGTCACTAGCTTCTCCATCTTTACCCAGCCCACAGCACCCAAGAATATGAGTCCTTTTAAAATGTATTTTATGTGTGACGAAGTGGTGTACATGCACATGTATATGAATGTGTGTGTGTGTATACATATATGTGTGTGTACATGTACAGGCCAGAGGTTGACTAATACTTTATATATTGAGGAAGGATCTCTCACTTGAACCCAGAGCTTGCCAATTTGGCTAGTATAGCCAGCCAGCTTACTCCAGGAATCCTTTGTCTCTTCCTTCCTTGCTGAGATTATAGGTCGACCACCACACCTGCTTGATGTTTACATGGGTGCTGGGGTTCTGAACGTGGCTCCTCTTGTGGCAAGTACTTTTTTCTATTGAACTATTTCATCACTGAACTGGGGTCTAAGCTAGATGGACTTTATATAGCGGTACTTACAGGAGTCTGCTATCCACAGATCACCTCCTTTCTTGCCTTGGCAATAGAAACTCAAAGAATAAGACCAAAAGTCATGTAGCTTTAAAAAAAATATTATTTAAACCTTTAAAAAATCAAAACCTATCTTAGAATTCTTCTGTCCTCACCTGGCTGTTTTAAGAGGCAAGGGTACTGTGTCTTAAGGACCAGTGTTCCTCAAATGGCAGCGTCGATATGCCTTTCACTAAGCTTTCTTTGCCTTCATCAGTAACATTTTAAAAAGAAATCCGACTGGAAGAAAAGCTGTAGTGTTTGCTCGCAAGCAGTTCACAGCCAGCTGTGACTTACAATCCAGAAAAGATAGGCTACCCTCCTTCACACAGCAGCAGGGTGAGGACCCTGTCACCAGGAATGACTTAATGAAGGAATATTTTTGCTGCCCCTCATGTCTCCTACATATGGTGGCTAATGAAGGCTCCACCTCAGCACTTCCGTGTTCTTCTGGGGCCTCTCACGTGTGTGCTAATTCTTCCTTATGGCACACACCCTGCCATGTGCACCTTTATGATTAGAGGCTATTGGCTTCCACCCACATCTCTGCTCTGCTTGCACAGTAAACAGGCATCAGCTGTTGGGCGCTACCTCGAATGTCACCAATGTGCCAGTTAAATGGCATTTCTCTAGTATGGGCAGAGAAATTATAGGCAGAGAAATGCACATCTCAAGATTTACTAATTTATCTCAGCGGACACTGTTTTAGGATTATGACATTTTATAGTGAAGCGACTTTCTGGAAACCTGTCATTCTTTGCCTTCCAGGGTTGTTTCTTCCACCTCCTTCATCTTTTTCTTTTTGTTTTTATTTTTGTTTTTTTAATGAACTAAAGCAGTGGCTTACATGAAGAAAAAAAGACTGGTTTTCTACCATCATTTTTCAAAACACTGTGGCAGCTGACTAGACAGCCCCTACCTCCACCATTTCTCTACTACTCGGTGCTGCCACCCAGCAGATAGATAACACAACAGCCACTAACATCTGTTGTCTTGGAGAGCAATACCCACCCAGCAGAGTCTTGTTAGCAAAAGGAATCTCTTACCTTAAAGAGTGAAGATGCTTAGGGGCTACTGGGTAGATAGGATAGTCCAGTACTTTAGATAAAAGCAGGAAGGATGTGTGGGTGACTAGCTCATTTACTGGGTTACTGCTTAGACTCTCTTTTAACTCTCACAGTACTCCTGTGAAGTGTTATCACTTCCTAGTGCAATGGAGAAAACTGAGAATTGCATAGTCCAATATAGCCAATATAACTGCCCCCCAGGCCCATGCCAGGCCTCTCACCATCCCTAAGAGTCTATAATGGTCTCCTGGGTGACAGAAACATTTACCGGTAATTCAATTTCTTTGGTCAAAAAGGTTTGGGAATAACCTTAATTCAGCCTTAATCAAATTATTGATAACATGGCCACAGAAGGACAGCTTTCGAGTACTGTGCTGAGAATCTTCTATATGCCTCTGAAGGATATGAGCTCAGGTCAAGCCAAACAGTAGTGCGGCAGTGATGCACACAACCAGGCTGAAGCAGGAAATCAGAGAAGGAAGGTGCGGTGCTTCCACCCAAGGACCTCCAAGGCACCTGCCTCCTTTCTTAGGAGCTCAGCCATGAGAAACTCTCAAGTCTCTAGCCATTATCCTGTATAGTTCAGGGCACAAAGCCAGTGACCAGAGATCAATGTGTTTCTAAATTACCATAAATGGATAGATAAATGTAAAATGCCTCAGACAAACATAAGTTGTAAGATCTAAATTTTGGTTCTGTCTTTAAATTCACTTTAAGGGAAAACCTTCAAAGAGTAGTTCAAGAAATGATAAAGTATTAAGACCTGTTTGATGTCAGAAAGCACCATTGTGCTGAGTTTGTGAAGCCCATAATGCCATCTGCTTCAGTGGCTGAAGGAGGAAGATCCTAACTTCAAGGCCTGTCTGGTCTCTTACAGAGTAAATTCAAGGCAAACCTGGGCAACTTAGTGAGAACTTGTTTCAAAATAAAACATTTTTAAAGGTAAAGAGAAGGCATGAAATGAAACTCAATAGTAGAGTGCTTTGCCTGGCACACACAATCCACATTATCAGAAGAGGGAAAGCCTTACAGAAATCACTTCTGATCTACTCCAAAAGAACATAGCAAAGACACTCTTAGATCTGTCCCTGAACACAAGACTACCACGTCCCGTTGGGCTCTCCTTTATCCTTAGTCCAGACTGTCTCCTTTCAGCTGAACAATATCAGCATCTGATCTTTTAGTCTGGGGCTTCCAGGACAGACTATGAGCAGCAGCAGTGAGCTCTTTTGTTGAGTAAGGTAAACACCTCACAAAGGGCACAAGACTCATACAGCTCTCGCTTCAAATTTAGAGCCAACAATTTGAACTCATTCAAAACGAAATACTGTATTCTTTATAACTTGCTTGTGGCTGTGCTTCTAGTCATGAAAATAGTTTCATTTGCTCACATGTGTGCCCCAGGGTGTAAATAGGATCTTTTATAACTACTCTTAAAAGTATTTTCAGAATCTTATGTTTGTAGGACCAAGACAGCAACTATCACTGAACGATGTAAGGATAGAAGTAACTGGCACCATATCCTGGGAGTCAGGACGACTTTCCAGAATCATAGACAACTAGGTTGAATTATTCCAGGGTTCTCTTTGATTGACAAGATCTATACAATCTATGTACAAGAATAATTTTGTTCTTCAAATTTATGAACATGAGGCTTGAAAGAAATGGCTATGTAAGTAACAATAATAAAAGAAGTCACTGTCTTGTGTTAGTGACTAAAAAGGAAATATTGCTGCTTCTGTTTGCAGGTTTCTATTGAAGAGCAGAAATTATTTTAGGATTGAACTATGCAGAAACTGTCCAGATGGCCATACAGAAATGATAAAAAAAAATAGAGGCTCTCTTACCATTTTTTCTTCCTTAGCAGGTGGACTTCGAAGAAAAAAGCAGAGTGGAGCGAAAGCAATATCAATTATCCCAATAATCGTCATGAGCCAAGGAAAGCCAATGGCCTTCGCGATGGCACCGCCAGCAGAGGGACCTTTGGGGAAACAGAAAGTCAGCCCTTTCTCCAAACATCTTATCCTTAGAAAATGTAAAGACTTCTGTATTTCTAGGAGGTTTTATCTGTACTGAATTAAGGTAAAGGTTTTCTTGAAAGCCAGGCTTCTTACCGATAGCATACCCCATACAAAAGGCCACATCTGCAATGGCATATACACTCCCATAGACAGACACATGGCGCAGGTCAACCAGGTAGCCCATGATAGGCATCATGGAGGAGTCCACCATTCCTGTGAATAGTCAATGGAAAAGTAGTATGAACCAGAAGCAGGCTAGATGTCAACGACTGTGTCCTAAACGCAGTACGTTGCCAGGTCTTTCCCTCTGTCCTTGTCACATGCTCTTTCATGACAAGACTACCGACAGCAAACCTTCCATTGTGAATAGTCAGCAGAAGGGTTCAAACAGGACTGGAATTCAGGACTCTGAGTCATTGTTAGGCCACCATTTGAAGGACACCTTGAAGGCCTCACCTTGTCATCTCTTGTAATGGGCCATCTTCGGGGTAAGAGAACAAGATGGTACCCAGTCTTCTGGCAACTGACTTACCACTCTTCAGATCTACTAGATTACAGGCCACTGGAACCTGGCCTACTAGCTGATGCCTTCTTGATCCACTATTTACCTGATTGCTTTTCCCTTGTCACTTAGCACACATACATCTCAGCTAACCTCTTTCCCATGCACCCCGACACCGGGCCGTAGACCATGAAAGTTACCACACAGAAAAGTGCCCAAGAGGGCCAGAGTATTAGAATTCAAAGAAGGGTGGGCATGTCTATTCCTGCTTGGAAAATTGAAACCTGAAGAGAATGGCTCGTTAGTTAGCTAAACTGACAACTAAGACCAGTATGATAAGCTGAGGTCTCTGGGCTAGGGAAGGACAAGGACCAGAAAGAGCACATGTGTTCAGAATTCTGGGTACAATTGAATGAACATGGTCGTGCCCGAGCACTGTTTTCCCCTATCGAGATGGGGGGATTTGAAAGTGGTTTTGGTGACTGAACATAGTAAACAGATGCCTGTTGGCACACAGCAACAGGTGAATAAGAGAATTCTCTCTCTCTCTCTCTCTCTCTCTCTCTGTCTCTCTGTCTCTCTCTCTCTGTCTCTCTCTGTCTCTCTCTCTCTGTCTCTCTCTGTCTCTCTCTCTGTCTCTCTCTGTCTCTCTGTCTCTCTCTCTGTCTCTGTCTCTCTCTGTCTCTCTCTGTCTCTCTCTCT